ATGCTGTAAATAGCATTTGGTTTTCTGCTTTCTTCCAGTTCTAAGGTATCACCATGTGATAGTATGTGCATGTCATTCCCTGCTTCTAAGAGCCATGGGTATTCCATAGTGTGTGCTCACCAGTTAACCTATCCACACACGTGGTGATGGACAACTCAGCTGCCACAAACAAGGCAGCTGCAAGTGCCCTGGTGGCCGACACAAGAACTGCTCTGAGAAACCCAGAAGGATTTCTGTGCCCCAGCGGATGCATCCTCACTGCACTGAACCCTTTCAGACTGCCCTGTAACCAAGCAGATCTATGTAATAAGGTGCTCGGTGTAGTGCTTTTACCTTATCAGCTATTAACCAAAGAATCCCACACTGGGGCATCAGGGTTTCATCCAGCTCTGCTGCGGGGTGGCTGTGGGATGTTACATAAGTCACATCCCGTGTCTGGGTCTCAGGATCCTCTTCCACCAAGTGAGTATGCCGGACAAAGTCAACTCAAGGCCAACCCTAACCCCACTGGGAGTGCATCTGAGGGGCAGCACAAGATGATGAAGCAGAGACACCTTTGAACCCCAAGTCCTAGCTTTGGCGACCTTTGTGAATTGCAGAAGGAGCTCATTGGGAATACACGTGTTGTAGGAGTCCTTGACAATTAAGTGAAATAATGGACATAAAGTATCTGGCACTTTGAGTAGCTGTTCAAACTGATATCCATTCTTTTTATTACCAACCCATGCCCTTTCCCTGTTTTGTCATTTTCCATTGAAGAATTCTGAAATTTTTCAGAATTCTAAATTCTGACAATTTACTGTTCTGTCTTCTTAATGAAGTATAAATACATACAGTAAGGTCTAATAATCTTCTTTTAATAACAGCTTTATTGAAGTATTCACAGACCATAAAATTCACCCTTTAAAAGTATATAATTCAGTGTTTTTTTATAATACTATATTCACAGAGAAATCTCATGACTGCTTAATTTAAGAACATTTTCATAGACCCTTCCGCCCCCCACCAGAAAACCCTCACTCTCCATTTCATCCTCTCCAGCCCCTGGCAACCATTAATCTACTTTCTGTCACTATTCTGAGCATCTCATACAAATGGAATCATTTACTATATGGCCTTTTGTGACTGGCTTCTTTCACTTAACGTAACATGTTCAAGGTTCATCCATATTGTAGCATGTGCCAATACTTCATTTTTATTGTGAATAATATTCCACTGTATGGACACAGCACATTTTGTGTATTCATTCGTCAGCTGATGAACACTTGGGTTGTTACCACTTTTTGGCTATTATGAATAAAGCTTCTGTGAACATTCATGTACAGATTTTCGTGTTTAATTATCTTGGGCATATACCTAGGAATGGAATTGCCAACCATATGGCATCTTTATGCTTAACTTTTAAGGAAGTACCAAAATGTTTTCTGAAACACCACTTTTCAGCCCCACAGCCATATATGAGGGCTCCAATTTCTCTACATTCTCATCAGCTCTTATTATCATCTTGTCTCTTTTGTTTTAGTTACTCTAGTGGGTGTGAAATGGTATCACTTTGTGGTTTTGAAGTGCACTAATCTTATATTAGCAGCTCAGTCTTTGCAAATGTGTACATCTAAGATACATATACACAGATTTAAATATAGAACATTTCCCTCCTCCTGCCTCTGAGTCACTGTCTTCCTACCCAAGGTAACCACTGTTCTGCAGCAACATTGCCTGGTTTTCCTGTTCTTTAACTTTATGTAAATGAAAACATAGAATATATGCTCTTATGTCTAGCTTTTTTCCACTCAAAAAATGTTGTGGTATCAGTGGTTTCAGGTGCTTGTTCTTTTTATTCCTATGTAGTATTTCATTATATGAGTATACTGCAATCTATGTATTCATTCTTTTATGAGTGGACATTTGTTTTGGTTCCAACTTGGGGTCATTATGAATAAAATTGCAAAAACACTCTTGTACCTTTCTTTTGGAAGAAATATGAACTCATTTCTCTTAGGTCTGTACCTAGGAATGGAATTGCTGGATCATGGAGTATCTTTAACTTTAGTAGAGGTTACCAAACAGTTTTCCAGAGTGGTTGTACCAATTTACACGCCCATCAGTAATGTATGAGCATTTCAAGTTGTTCTATATCTTCTTTGGCACTTGAATAAATCAGTCTTTCTGTTTTTGTTTTTTAAGTGAGACACAATCTCATTCTGTCACCCAGGCTGGAGTGCAGTGGCACGAACATGGCTCACTATAGCCTCAACCTCCCTGGGCTCAAGTGATCCTACCATCTCAGTCTCCCAAGTAGCTGGGATTACAGGCATGCACCACCATGCCTGGCTAATTTTTTAAATTTTTTAGAAATGGGGTCTCACTATCTTGCCCAGGCTAGTCTCGAACTTCTATCCTCAAAAGATCCTCCCACCTCAGCCTCCCAAAGTGCTGGGATTACAGGTATGAGCTACCATGCTCAGCCTAAGTTTTTAAAGTTTTTCAGGTAAGTTTTAGTTTTGGTATATAACGGTATCGCACTATGGTTTTAATTTGTGTTTCTCTAGCAACGAATCATGTTGAATACCTTTCTTCATTGCCTTCAGTCTGAAACTTAGCTGAAAGGATCTGACAAGTAATACTCAATTCTCCCTGGTGGTTGCTGGAAGAACTAAGGATTGAGGTGCTCCAGGGAGCCCCATCAAGGGTGAGGTCTTTTATCCCAGATCCTTGATCACACTCTACTAATCGAACACTAGTAAGAAATCCATTGCTATAAACATATTTATTCATTTTTGAATTAACAGTATTTTACTTTCAACTCCTAGAATTCTCCTTGCAACATATCCTTAATCCAATAAAGAAAGAGATGGAGTAAAGTAAGTGTAAAAAAAAAATTTTACCAGTCAATCTTCAAGGCAAAGAATTGACTATACTAAACACAAGAAATTTCCATTTAAATGTTAAAGTCAGGTGAAGTTATAGTCTAGTATATAAGGGATGTTTAAATTCATGTTTCTCTTTTTGTTTGTTTGGTTTTTGAGACAGAGTCACTCTCTGTAACCAAGGCTGGAGTGCAGATCTCGGCTCACTGCAACCTCCGCCTCCCAGGTTCAAGAGATTCTCCTGCCTCAGCCTCCTGAGTAGCTGGGACTAGAGGTGCATGCCACTAAGCCTGGCTAATTTTTGTATTTTTTGTAGAGACGAGGTTTCACCATGTTATCCAGACTGGTCTCAAACTTCTGGCCTCAAGTGATCCGCCCACCTTGGCCTCAAAGTGCTGGGATTACAGGCGTGAGCCACCAGACACACTTTCTCTTTATTTTTTTAATAGAACGTTTATATTCTTTATGATAGCTTAATGGAAGGAGCATTTGAAAAAGGGTCAGTTATCGTTAAAGAAAGTGTATTCTGTCCTCAAGTTGGGAGAGATCATGTGTGAGGTAAGCGTTTCAGAAGGTTCCTTAGGGTCATCACATTATACAGGACTCTGTGCCGTGGACACGGAATTGTAGGGGTTGGGAGGATCTATGAGAACTACCAAGGTGATTGGTGAAATGTCGGTCAGCCTCCAGACACCTCTGCTGCACCCACTAGGCAGAACTGGGGTAAAATGCCCAGGTCCTTTGGGCAGAGGAATTTCAGAAACAATGTGAGGCAAGATTTGGAGTTCCCAACTCCCCCATGCCAGTCCCCATGTAAGCAAGCAGGACTTTCCCACCCAACAATAAACGCCTCTCTCTCCCATCCAATAAATATCACTGATGTGTTTATGTCTTGTTAAGCCATTGGGGCAAAGGAGTAAGCTCCCTGTTAAAGTCAACAAAAGCAAAAATCATCCCACAGCTTTTATCAAACACTAAAACAATTTTCAATGTGGAAAATTTCTTCTTAATAGGGAAATGGAAAATTACAGATATAGAATCATCCAATCTTAGAGCTGGAAGGAACCTTGGAGGTCATCAGTTGAACCTCGAGCCCACTGCTGGAATTCTTATTACAACATCCCTGCTGTCCTCTGCTTGAACGGTCGTAAGCCTGGGCCCTTTCTCAGCACCTCTAAGGAAGTTTTCCACCCATTGTTGGGTGGTTGTTAGACAGTCATTCTTATGTTGAACCAAAATAGTCCTTCTGGAAACTTCACCCTTCAGGCACAGTTTGAATCAGTCTATTTCCTCTCCTCTGTGAGAGCCCTTTGAGTATTTTAAGGCTGTAAGCCTCATCCCTTCTGAGTCTTTTGTCCCCAGACCAAGCATTCTCACTTCCTCCAAATATATAATAATCCATTCTAAAACCTGGCCAAGGACAGGCATCAAGTCACTGGTGTGTGGTCTTCCTAATGCTCTTTCCCTCGTCTTGAAAACCAGATCCACAGCAGGGGCTGGAGCAGCATACCCATTCTCGGAGATTGCCCGAAGGTACAGATGAAGCTTCTGTGACACCTTTGCAAGTTCAGTGGATGAGGGATGCAAGTCGTACACTAACAGATAAGAGGTTGTTTTTTTTTTAAGTTTTTAACAAGCTTGGGTATTTTTAGGAAATAAAAGTGACACTGTTGACCCCAATCTGGAGTGAGTCCAAGCAGTTTTCCCAGGAGATGGGTGGGTTCTTGCTAATCCAGTCACAAACTCTTAAGTATTTTCTAGGCACCCATAAGTATAGTACAGTATTATGTTCAGAAAACTGCTAGAGCTTCCTTAGTCCTGGTCTTATCCATCTGGGCAAAGTGGCCCAACCAGGGCAGTGAGGACGAGTACCTGGATAATCGTATGTGTACAATTCATGTTCAAGCCCTACCTGCCATGCCAGTGAACTAGCTGCTTCACCATCCCACTCCCCACAGCCCAGACCCCAGTGGGAAGTAGTCTACTTGTGAGCAGGTGCACACGCATGTATAGACACACATAAAACCCTCCCAAGCACACGCACATCCTTGAAGCCTTTTCTATCAATACCCCGACTTGTATTCAGCTATCTATCAGGGGTGAAAAAAATAAACAAGGTCTCTCCCTGGAGGCACAATGATTTTATGGTAGAGGTGCTTCTGAGCAGCCAGCAAAACAAGACAAAGGTCTTATTTGGTTTATCAAGCCCAGGTTACACCCATTGTTCATTGGGCCAGGCAGTGTTAATCAGCACCCAGACCTTTGAATAAAATCTTTGCCAAATAGATCTGTACAGATATTCTTGCTACGTAATGATAAAAGCACTACTTCTGGTAGGGAGGCAAAATCACTAAGATTTTAGGCAATAATTTTTCCTTGCTTACAAAACAGGGAGTAATGCCTACCCCAAAGATGTAAACAGTTTTTAATTCTTTGAAGGAGAATCTGTAACTTATGCTAAAACCAATTGCCAAAATAATGCTAAATGGAGCTTTCTGGAAAGAAGGCATTGTAAATAAAAGTCCCAGAAGAAACCCTTCTCTCCAATTTCTTCTTACGTTTCTGTGCAAACCCACGAAGGAGGGAATTGCATGATTTTAAAACCAAAGTCTTCTGTTTTTAAAAATCATATATCAAAACTTGAGAATGCAAAAGAGTTCTAATTACAACACCCAGGGAATGGTTATGAAATACCAATAATGGTTGATAAATGCTCAACCCAGTCAGTGGAACACATACACAAACCTTTGACCAGAAACACGGACTTAGAAGGTCACCATCAGCGTGATGAAAGCCTTGGAGCACGCCTCTGACAAGCAAGAAGGGCATTAGAGAGCCAGGTGTTTCCCCTTTGATTAATGCACTCTCTGAGAAGCCCAGATTGAGAGGGAACTATAAATGATCAACCTTTGTTTTGGAAAGGGCTTTCCTTGATCTTCTTGGGTTATTGTGCAGCCCATTCTACAAGTCTCCTCCCATCCTCCCTCCTGATTGTCAAAACAAGTCTGTGGGAGAGGCATTCTCAGGAATGTATGATGCTCTGTTTAATATGGAAAATGATCCTCCCAAGGCAGGGGAAGAAATAAAGAAGCAGATTTCCTCCGCAGCCTTCACAATACAAACCCTCAAGGACACTGAGAGAAGGGTGGTTTAACAGGTGCATGAGGAAGATTTGGAAGTTGTGGCTCCTTCAGAAATTTGCTTCCCAGTTTAATTGTAGGCATCTAAAGGGTTAGGTCAACTCTAAGGATGATTCAAGTATTCCCTCTCATTTTCTTTTCTTTTTTTTTTTTTTTTTTTTTTTTGAGATGGAGTTTTACTCTTGTTGCCCAGGCTAGAGTGCAATGGCACGATCTCGGCTCACTGCAACCTCCACCTCCCAGGTTCAAGCAATTCTCCTGCCTCAGCCTCCTGAGTAGCTGGGACTAGAGGTGCATGGCCAATACTTCATTTTTATTGTGAATAATATTCCACTGTATGGACACAGCACATTTTGTGTATTCATTCGTCAGCTGATGAACACTTGGGTTGTTACCACTTTTTGGCTATTATGA